TTGCAAACTGGCACTCTTGTACAGATTACAAATGCTTCTGTTGCTCTCTGTAAGACCTGCACCCCGGAGCATCATTAATGCTTCGATAACAACTTATAATAACAGATTATAACTATAGACGAGATTATAACTATAGACGATTATAAGTCTCCTGTGTTAATTCCAACTACTGTCGGGGCACCGCAGCAGCAAAGAGCTAACGTGGAACCAACTTTGTTACAGACACTGTTCGGAAAAGAAAAAATCAACTAAAAGTGGAAAAAAAATCTAAATATCCCATGTTACAATGTGGACACTTGCACAGCTTATAGAGAAGTGCAGCCTATATGTTCAATTATTTTTTTTTTTTTAATTTAGTGGGTGCGGCCTATATTCAGGTGTGCTCAATAGTCTGGAAATTACGGCATATGCCTTTCTTTTTACCCGAATCATTCCTTCAAGCTGTGATTTATATTTATTTTAACGATTTTTCCTTGTACAGAAAGAAGAGGAGTTACCAGACGTCATTCCTGTCAATGGTAAAGCTGTGTTTATATCACACAAAAGCCCAAAGATTCATATAAAATAGTCTCTAAACTTCCCTAGTTAAACAAAAACAACAAAACTTGAAACTCAAATTACAGTAAAATTGTAGTGATGATGATTTTTTCTTTTCCTCATTCAGTACAAACTCAAATTACAGTAAAATTGTAGTGATTCTTCTTTTCCTCATTCAGTACAATTTTTTAAGTGTTTTTAAAGTGTTTTTAGGCTCATTTCTATATTAGAAGAGGATTGTAATGCGATTGAGTATAACATCTGAACTTCTATCTTTTATTTTAACATTTTTATAGAAACAAACATTTCAACATAAAATTCCAATGTCAAATTATTAATATCTCTAATTTAAGAGAACAACATTGTTCTCAGTTTTGACTTGCAGTTGATAAGTAAGATTTAAAATTAAAACCAGGGGTTATTTTTAAGCCTGATTATAGATTTTATTTAGAATATGTAATCATCTAGTTCTCAGTTGTTTTTTAACCTGAATTTACTTTACAAAATGACTTAACTTTTGACTGCAGGTGTGGAATCTCTGAAAAAATGTTTCGAGTTTTTCGAAGAGATGGAGGTGGACTACCACAGGAGGTTCTTCCGCAACCTTGGCATTTCGGACAACGTGATCAAAAGTAGGGACCATCTTCTCTACGAGGACAGGGTCCATGAGCTGTTGAACATCTGGGTGGAGAAGGAGGGCAAAGAAGCCAGTCTTAACAGTCTTCTGAGTGTGATGCTGCTTCTCAATCAGAGGCAAACAGCAGAGACAATTATGGAGAAAGCACTTCAACATGGTCATTTCAAAAAAGAGTGTTTTTGATGGGTTTGTTATTTTAAAGTCCCCTTGTTGACAAAAAGAAGTTAATTTCTTGTAAGTTTCTTGTTGTTGAACCGTTTGTCAAACTGGTTGTATCGTTTGTGGTCGTTTGTCTGACCTTTACCCACAGTTGTTGTTTATTAGTAGTGGGTAGTCACTGGACAAACACAAAGGAGGTTCACTAACCTCCTTTGTGTTTTTCCAGTGGAGGTTCACATGGACTGGTCATGTTACTACAGTAGCATGACTAGAACATGTTACTGTACCGGTCTCTGTCTGTGTCTAATAGAGTCTTGTCCATCCAGGCTCTGTGAGCAGGAGCAGAAGGTTGCATTCACCAAAAAAAATTTGCTCCATTTCTTAGAGAAGCAAAGAGACTAAAAACCATGTTGAAGTTTTTGTAGATTTTCTAGAAATCAAAATGTATATCAGAGATGTCAATTAATGCATTAACATTTAATTTATTTGTGAAATCCATGAGTTAAGGTTTTAACACATGAGTACACTGATGCACACTATATATCCAATATTACAGGCACCGTTATTTATGCATATTGTGAGGAAGTGCTTTCAATTTACTGGAGCACTTCAAGCTTAAAATACCATCTCATGTCTCAATACACTTTTGCTTGCTCAGACCAAGGACAGGGCAGGAAGTTTACCCCTGACACAGTATACATATACATATATGTGCATGAGTGTGTTGATATATTCAAACTTACACTCTGTATTAGATGGTTACTCTGCAAGAGTGGAAAAAACTCTTGGAATAATTTGTTTGATTTCATAAATTATAATAAGATGTATAATGGTCAAGAGTTCTCTTTGCTTTGTGTTTATGGGAATATTTAAAAATGTTGTTCAATGCTATTTATTAAATGTTGTCAGGGACAAACAAACAGAGCAAAAGAACCAATGTGTTTACTTTTATGTAGTATCTTCTGTCACTTTAGATTTTTATATATACCTGCTGATGAACTTACTTGATGTACATGAATCTGGTCAGCAGTGGCCAGTGATTCAGCAGAGGGTTTTAACTAGTGATAGCTCAATACAACTTTATCAGATATGATACTGACACTGCAACCTGGATTATTCGCTAGTACCAATATCAATCTGATAAATTTAATTCACCTCCAGCATGAAACGAATTGCAGTTGCTGAGGCGATATTTTTTGTGTGTGTTTGATACTGAAATTTAGACCAATATCAAGTATCAGGTTCAGCCAACCCTAGGTTAGAACCTTTGTCAATCATACATGTGTCTTGGCTTCATTTAAGAACTTGCCTATTTTATTGTGGGGACCACCTGCTATACTAGAAATTTCCTGCTGCACAGCAATGATGCAAATCTCTTCCACCACCTTTCATTTATCAGCAACAACACCTAACAATGACCATGGCCTGGCCTGACTTGATGTCAAAAAGTCAGGCAGATTTACATTCATTAGCTTTTTTTTCTACTAAGACAATGTGTACTGAACCTCCTTTTCCTCTACTTTTGGGGTATAAGATCTATTTCAATTCACAAATATTGTTCAATCTACAGGAAAAGGTCAGATATTTTATCTTAGTTGGCCTCTATTTACTTTGTGACTTTGAACATCACACCCCTTCATGTGCTTTTCATGCATATTTTCTCAGACCCCTTTTGACATTGATTGAGTGACTCATGAACCCAGTGGTGTTTATAAAGCCCAATGTTTTTCTATTGCACTACCAAAAATCTGGACATTAAAAATACAAATATCTTCCTTCAGAGATCTGGCAGCCGTGGTGCTGCCATTGTAACCACAGTTTGTTGGAAAGTGCGTAGGGTTCCGTTCAGTGTCAAAACTCTTGTAACCAAACCAGTGATTGATTTGGAGTTCCTTTGTTGTCTTCGGAATTCTATAGTAGCACTGCTGCACAGTATTACTAAAAAATCTTTTGTCTTCGGAATTCTATAGTAGCACTGACTGAGTAGCATTCTTCCTGCACAGTATTACTAAAAAATCTTTCAACACACATCTGGTACATACTGTACAGATGTGCCTGTGTGTGGGTATGAAGAAATAATGTGATACCACAGGTGTCATAGCCCTGTGAAGAATTACCTCTTATTATATCTTGTCTTATGTCTCTCAAACTAATGGTCTTTTTGATTGACATAAACTGACTAATTTGCTTATGTTTTTTATTTGTTTATTTGTTTTCCCTCAGACACACTGTTACTAAATAACTTCTGTTGTTGCTTTCAGGTTTTACTTCATATGTTTCTCCAACTATTGTTTGACTATTGTATTTTCCCCTCTAGTTTTGTGTCAAACTGATCAACATAAGAAATGAGGTGTGTCATGCCAGTGAATGTTGCATTAAAAGAGTAAAAAGCATTGCAAAGTTTTACATTGTTGTTCCACTGTATGTTGAATGAGTTGAGACAGTTTCATTTAAAACAAAAATACAGGTGAACACTTGTTTTAAATGTGTGGCTATGTTTATTAAACAATATTTATTTTAAAAAGACTACTTGTTGGTTAATGTACTAAACTTTGATTATAAAATATATTTACCTGTTATCTTTATCTCAGTTGTCGTGGCTAGTGTGCAGAGATGGGCAGTAGTGGTACAAGAGTAACGCATTACTCTAACCCAATATTATTTTTTTCAAGTAAAGATTAAGGGATTACAGTTTCAAAATCAGTAATTAGATTACAGTGATGGGTGTGTAGATCAACAAGGCAGAACACGGAGGCCATTTTACCCCTTAGGCACTCAAGACACCTCACACAGCAAGAATCTTTCAATTCCCAACCAATTTACTGTAGCATTACAGAGCAATTTTGTGTTTTATTCCCAACCAATTTACTGCAAAATGGACTGAATTACAAGTAGTTCACACAAGCAGTAACATGTTCTTATTTATAAATAATAATAAAAATAATAAAATTACAAAAATACAATGCTCCAATGTTATCTGAACTATGTAATACATGTATCATTTTAGCTTTTTTATTACAATATTGGTTGGGCTCAGGTAATTGTAAGTAATTGAAAAACTAAGTGTTGTAATAATCTACAGTAAATATTGGAAACAATTATTAAACATGCAGTTGAAAATTTTGTCAAATTATTTTCCTGACTTGAGCTGCTGAGTAGCTCGTGGTCAGTTTGTCTAATTCTTTTCTTCACGGTGACCTAGGAATTTGCAAGCAATTAGGCCTAAACTTCACGCATGTAATAACAAGAAGAAGGCATAATAAGACAGAACAAGAAGAACAAAAACAAAAAATGTCCAGACCACATATTTTCATTGTACTGATGTCAGTTAGCACATTGAAATACTTCAAAAACCACAACTAAAAAAGACACTGAGTTTGAGGTTGCCCCAATGGGAGTGTCCTCTTGTTAAGTCATATCCTCCAAGTGTCAATCCCTTTTTTTCCCTCTCTGGGCTAGAGGTTTCCTCACAGAGCAGATACGAACACAGAGAGACTCTGGAAAAAGCAATGGATTTAATTGAAAAGTTCTTTGTTTGTCTCGGTGCTGCAGTTTCTATCTACTGCGGAATGAAACTGCTGCTTTTCAGTAGAATGCTTTTTCCAAAAATGTGGTTTCCGCTGCCAGAGACATTTTTCACATCAATGGGAGAGTGGGCAGGTGAGCAGCGTGTGCATGGGTGTGTGTTTGCACTTGATTACTTCTGTCTGACCTGCTGTCTTGCACTCTAGGTCATAGTGCATGAGTAAAGTTATAATATCAACTTACATACAGTAGGCCACACAGGAAAAGGAATTAGTGCTTTTGCCTAACCGCAGTGGTAACTGAGGTTCTTTCTATGCAGTTTTCAAGATCTGCTCTTAGTTCACACTGACTTCAGCGAGTGTAAATGACCTGTGAAAGTGACTTGTGATGAACTGGTGAACACTTCATTTAAGATAACAAAGTACTAAGTGACAGCTCATTACTGTCAAACTCTGGTGTCTTCAGGTGACTTATCCATCTGGCACAATTTTGAAGATCAGATTCCTGATCTGACTTTGTTTATATATAAATTAAAGTGGAAAAAAACTAGGTGAAAAGCACACAGTAAGCACTGACTTGCGCCCCAGTCTGTTTCTCAATGAATTCCTGGAGGTCCCAAAGCTGTCTCATCAAGTACCCAGGTTTCCTTTGGCATCTTTTGCAGAGGTTGTTCATTCTCCCACAGTGCTTAAGGCAACCTCAGAGAAAAGAAATGGAGAATTCTCAGCCAATCTCTTTTTCTTCACCCAAGCCCATTTTGATTCAATTCCAGCAGAGGAAAAATGGTGAGTGGAACAACGAGTTCCAGGCTGCATTTGTTGATTTTAAACCATTTTACCTTAATTTCCTTATTAAGTGCACCAGAATGTAAGCTGCATATTTACACAGTGAGATGCTACACAGAAAGATTTTTTTTTCACTTTTAATTAAATATATATATATTTTCCGAACAGTGACTGTTACACGTTAGCTCTTTCCTGCTTCAGCTCCCCGACTGTAGTTGCACAGGGGAGACTTAGTGATCTGCTCCAGGGCCGAAGCTAACATTAGCTCCGGGGCTAACTCCCTTCACTTTGTGCTTGTCTACAGCAGAGGTGAACAGAAACAGGGAAGTTGGGGTCTTTATTATCAGCCACACTGAGCACACCAGAGGGGTCAGTGATCGCTAGCGGTACGAACTTTGTTGCTAACGATAGCGCAATAGGTGGTATTCAGTCATTTTTAAAAAAAATAAAATAATATAGATTAGATTAATATGTGAAAAAGCTGCTATCTGCTCATGATGCACAACAATTAAGTTGAATGAGATGGCCCTTGGTTTTCAAACTGGCTCCAGACTGGTCTGATTCATATTGTCTGTGATGTGTAATGTCATAACTATGAAACACCATCAAATCAAATATAAATACCACTTTAGCAGTTAAGTGCATGGGGTGAAGTGACGTTAAAATAATTTCTAAATTTAAAGGGAACTCCAGAGGTGTTGATGAGGCCATGATTTCTTCAGTGCAGAATCAACACCAAATGAAACATGACTTTATACTAGATCAGTCTTTTTTAACCCTTGGGGCCATACTCTTGCACAATCTGTTAAAAAAAACATTGTTCAACTTCTTTTCAGTTGTCAAGTCCTCACATGCAGCTGTCTGGCAACTGACCTGTCCATGAAGTCTGAACAATGTGTAAGAGGATCTGGAACATGAAGGAATGTTGGAGCAGGACCAGGTTTCTTTGAAGGAGCCTGAATGCACTTTTACTAATTTGTGTCAGAATCCTCAACAAGTTGTTCCTAAATTGTCTGAGGTACCAAGTACAGAGTTGTATTTTAGAAATCTTATATTAATTACATTACATTCAATATGAAGAGTTGAAAAACCTGATTAAATAAAATGAAACACAGCTTCAACACTGGATCAAATATATTGATAAAACCTTTGCAAAGATGTTAGAGACACTGGCTTAAGAAGCTTTGGTTTATAACCAAATACTTGTTTCAGTATTTGTAAAAGGAGAAAAAAGGGAGCCTGAGTTTTGTGAGAGGATGGTGGAGAAGTGAGCCTTTACAAACAAGCAGTTCCTGTTTGCTCTCAGTAAGTCCTTTATCAGAACTAGGAGGAACACGCTGTATTGGTACAGCCTATTATAACAGGACGGGTGTAGTGTTAACGTCAGTAGAAATACCTTCTACAGAGCCTTCTACGGAGTAGCAGCAGAGGAAGAAACATAGAATGCAACTCTGTGCTCCTAGTTCTTGTAGAGAGAACTCCAGGAAAAAGTGATGGAAACTGTTTCTAACACCAGTCCCTGTATCCTTGTTATTTCAGTGGTTACCGGAGCTTCAGAAGGTGTTGGCAAAGCATATGCATTAGCAGTAAGTGCAGGACGAAGTAGAGAAATTTTAAAAACACAGCTTGTATTCATTTTATACAGTTTTTTTTATAAATTAAACCAAATATGTTTAAATTTATTCCAGTTCAAAATCATATATGTTTATTTTTAGTTGGCTGAGAGGGGAATGGACGTTGTTATCATGAGTCGAACCAAAGCAGCACTGGACAAGGTTGCCAAGGAAATTGGTAAAAAATAAATAAATACATTTAAATAATAATAATAACATACGACTCATATCTGTATTTCTCCAGATTACTAACATTACATTACATAGGGGCTGTATTAAGCAGTAAACAAGAGAAGACTTTCCACAAACAGATCACTGATACACATATACTGTATAGACTACACACACAAATATAAGATGAGACAAATAAATATACATATATACATAAATATATATTTTAAGTACTGCACTGTATACATAAATATATTTCCATATATGTATATGTATATCATCATATATTATTTATAAACACACAGACATATATGCTGTATATACTTATGTTTATAGTACTTATATAATATATTATATGTAATATATATATTATGTTTTTGTTTTTACTGCTTTAATGTGTGATGCTGACATGATGCGATGTGCCATGCTTTGTGTAATGTTAACTCTTAGTTTTCATTGGCCATAGGTGAGAGAACAGGTCGGAGGGTGAAAGTCATAGTGACAGATTTCACAAAAGAAAACATTTTCAGCAAAATTGAGGTTCAACTTAAGGACCTGAACATCGGGGTTTTAGGTTCGAAATTATAGTTTAATTAAATCTTGACATAAACAATAAATATGAATATAGTTTTCACACACAAAATAATTACTTCTCATTTTTTCTAAGTCAATAATGTAGGCATGCTGCCCAGCTTAATCCCCTTCAGATTCCTTGAGTGTCCGGACTTGGAGAAGGTCAGTGAAAAGACCACAGTAATGCATTTTTTATAAAAAAGTTTGCATTTGTCATTAAACTACAATTTCAATTTCTTATTTTTCTTTTGCAAAATAACATAAGATGAGCCTAAAAAAGCTAAAAGATAAACACAAAAGCCAAATTAAATTGTCTTACAAAAGAAGCATAGATAACGATTAGAGAATACCTTATTTTCTGGACTATAAATTGCACCGGCCAAAAAATGCATAATGAAGAAGAAAACATATATGTCGCTCTGCAGTATAAGTCTCACCAGTGCCATCTAGTGGCTGTGGTGAAAAATAACGAACACGGGAAATTATATACAGTCTATATGAGACGCACATGAATATAAGTCGCAAACACAGCCAAAGAAGGAAAAATTGCAATTTATAGTCCGGAAAATATGGTAATGTCTCTCCCATTTTTTACAGCACTCTGGATTATTCTCACCTGAATATCAATCCTCAGTATCTGAGACATGAACTCAGTCTCCTGCTAGAAACTGTTTTGTAATGTCAGGAAATAAGCCAAAGTTAAGGTGGTTATTTTTTATTTCAGACAATTCTAAATGTGATCAACTGCAATATGAAGACTATGGTTAAGGTAAGAGGAGGAATAAACTAAATGTAAATGAAAGACATAAAACATAAACACCATATAAACACAAACAGGTGTCAAATGTGTAAGTGTAATGTCAAATGAACCAAACCTAGCACTGAAACAATTATTAAACTCTCAAAACAATCTTAAAATATTTTATTTCATTCTCCAGATGTGCAAAATAATCCTCCCAGGCATGGAGAACAGGTTTCTTCATTTGCTTTATTAGAAGAAAGTGCAAAACAATATAAGGAACAATTTGATGAACACTGAGTTTCCAGCCCTTCATTTTTTTTCTTTCTGCCTCAACAGGAGAAAAGGGTTGATGGTGAACATTTCATCTGGGACAGCTTGTATTCCGTTCCCCATGTACACATTATATGCTGCATCCAAGGTGAGAGAGGCACAATTACGTAATACAGATACGCTGCATATACGTCATACAGCTCATAAGGCACATCCCTGCAATTGGCCTTTCAAAATTAACATGTTAACCAGGCTTATTTATTTGTAAAACAAATCAGTGAATGACTGTTTATTCAATATTCCCACATTCCATCTTCTTATCGCTGCTCAAATACAGTCAATACATATGTTATTATTTACCGTAATTATCGGACTATTGAGTGAACCTGAATACAAAGCACCCACTAAATTTAAGAAGAAAAAAAAAAGTACATATACAACCCACTAAATTTAAGAAGAAAAAAAAAGTACATATATAAGCCGCAAAACCCTCAGGAAGGGCATCTGGTGTAAAACCTTTAGCCAAATCAAGTATGCCTACAACGTTTTCCATACCTTTCGGGGCCTGTGTTAACAACAACCGCCAACAGTACTGTTCACCTACAGGCTACTGGTGTAAATAGGACGAAGACAAAGAAGAAGAGGAGCTGGATTGGGTGATAGAGAGCATCCCCAGGGGAGAGAGAGTGGTGATTGGAGCAGACTTTAATGATCATGTAGGGGAGGGAAAAGAGGTGATGAGGAAGTGATGGGCAGGTTTGGCGTTAGGGATAGAACTTTGGAAGGACAGGCAATGGTAGATTTCGCAAAGAGAACGGAAATGGCTGTGGTAAACAGCTATTTCTAAAAGAAGCAGGAACCCAGGGTGACTTACAAGAGTGGAGGCAGGTCCACACAGATCTGAGGAAGATTAGAGACTGTAAGGTGGTGGTAGCCAAACAACATTGGATGGTAGTGTGAAAGATGATGATGGAGGTGATAAAAGGAAGAAAGTGAAGACAGAGCAGAAGATAAAGTAGTGGAAATTCAGGACAGAGAAATATTTTGAAGACTGATCCTTATTTTAGGAAGGAAGGAAGTGCAGTTCTGGGCCGTTTTGAGGAGGGTGCTAGGTATGTCCTCTGGGCAGAGAAAGGAAGACAAAGAGACCTGGTGGTGGAATGATGAGGTACAGGAGAGTGTGCAGAGAAAGAGATTAGCCAAGAAGAGATGGGGCAGTGAATGAACAGAAGAGAACAGACTGAAGTACAAAGACAGGACAGGGGAGGTGAGGAGGAAAGTGGCCAAGGCCAAACAAAAGTCATATGAGGAGTTGTATGAGAGTTTGGACACAAAGGAAGGAGTTGTATAGATTGGCGAGACAGAGAAATCAAGCTGGGAAAGAAAGAAAGCAGCAGGTTGGGTTAATTAAGGACAGAGATAGGAATGTGATCAGAAGTGAGGAAGGTGTGCTGAGAAGATGGAAGGAGTACTTTGAGGAGTTGTTGAATGAGGAAAATGAAAGGGAACATAGGAATGAGGAGCCAGAAACTATCAGGAAGAAGGTAGATCAGACTAGAAAGGGGGAAGTAAGAAAAGCCCTAAAGAGGATCAAGAGTGGGAAGTCAGTTGGTCCTGATGACATACCAGTGGGAGTATGGAAGTGTTTAGGGGAAGTGGCGGTAGATTCCCTGACTGGGTTGTTTAACAGAATTGTAGAGACTGACAAGATGCCTGACGAGTGGAGGAAAAATGTTCTGGTGTTAATTCATAAGAAGGGTGATGCACAGAGTTGTAACAACTACAGAGGGATAAAGTTGATGAGTCATACAATGAAGATTTGGGAAGAAGTAGTTGAAGCTAGGTTGAGGCAGGAAGTGGAGATTTGTGAACAACAGTATGGTTTCATGCCTAGGAAGAGTGCATTATTTGCCTTAAGGATGCTGATGGAGAAGTACAGAGAAGGTCAGAAGGAGCTACATTGTGTATTTGTAGATTTAGAAAAGGCATATGACAAAGTGCCAAGGGAGGAATTGTGGTTTTGTATGAGGAAGTGTATGAGGAAGACACTAAGTCAGGAATGGCAGAGAAGTATGTTAGATTGGTACTGGACATGTATGAGAATAGTACTACAGAGGTGAGGTGTGCTGTTGGAAGGTCAGAAGACTTTAAGGTGGAGGTGGGATTACATCAAGGATTGACCCTGAGCCCCTGCTTGTTTGCCGTGGTGATGGACAGATGCAGAGAAGGGACAGTGGATACATTAGTAGAAGAATGCTAGAAATGGAGCTACCAGGTAAGAGACAAAGAGGAAGGCCAAAGAGGAGATATGGATGCTGTGAGGGAGGACATGCAGATAGTTGGAGTCAGAGTAGAAGATGTAGAGAACAAGGTGAGATGGAAAATGATGATACTCTGTGGCAACCCCTAAAAAAAAAGAACAAAGCGGAAAGGAAAAGAAGAAGTACATATACAAGCCGCACCTCTCTATAAGCCACAGGTGTCTACGTTGTAACATGGGATATTTACACAGGCTAACACGAGTGGTTACACGTTAGCTCTTTCCTGCTTTCGGCGCCCGGACTGTAGTTGGAATCCAAAGAGGGGACTTATTGATCTGCTTCACGGCCGAAGCTAACGTTAGCTCCCTTCACTTTGTGCTTTTCCACAGTAGAGGTAAACAGTAACAGGGATGATAGGGTGGTATTATCAGCCACCCTGAGCACAACAGAACATAAACAGAGTTTTAACAGCTCCTATATAACCAACTCATGCTTCAACATGACAGGGTTTAAACTGCTCTCAACTTTCGCTACTGTTCGCATTCGCCTACCATTCTCATTCGCACGTGAAGTCACAGACAGACATACGCTACTAATATAACACACAGTAGCCTACCAGAAAAGTCATTGATCACTACCGGTTTGAACTTCGTTAGATACGCTACTAATATAACACACAGTAGCCTACCAGAAAAGTCATTTTCTGGTAGGCAAAATGACTTCTAAGTTCAAACTTAGAAGTTTGAACTTCTTTAGGCCATAAAACCCATAAATTAGCCGCATCCTTTTTTAAGCTGCAGGGTTCAAAGCGTGTGAAAGAGGATTATAGTCTGGAAATTAAGTTACTCACTCTGTGGGAAAAACATTTTCATTTCACCAAAGCTTGTCAAATTTAAAATACCATCTTGACACCAAGCATAGGGTTGTGGAGCATTCAGTGGGAGACACACATCAACTGACCAGCATGAACGGACTATAAGCTAATATATAAAACAATCACGAAAGTCTTGAAAGACATCTTTATAAAAAGTTACCTATATATTAATAATTTCATCATTTTGATTGGTCATGAATAAAGCCAGATGTGAATCACAGACATTTATGTGTTATTCAGAATATATATATTTACTATAAGCTAATATATAAAACAATCACAAAAGTCTTTATAAGACATCTTTATAATGTGAATGTGAGTGTGTCTTATCAAACAATATTTATATTGGTTTGTACTTTTCTATACGGACACAGTGACTGCAATAATGGCAGCACATTTTGTTTTTTTTCCACATCATGTTTACTTTTATTTTATCGTCGTAACATACACTGAGGCTTTATTACCGTGAAGTACTGTAGTTTTAATCTTCCTAAAATCTGTTCATGTTTATAACCTGCATGTATCTGTAGGTGTTTGTAGAGAGATTTTCTCAAGGTCTTCAAGCTGAATACAAGGATAAGGGGATTATTATACAGGTAATTTGATGTGACTTTAATATGATATTAGATAATTTGATTTTACCTTCTTTATTTAGTTTTCCGTTATTGTTTTTTGTTTTATCAGGTAGTGGCTCCATTTGGAATCTCCACTCGCATGACCGGTTACATCCAGACCAACGCAATGACTCCATCACCAGACAATTTCGTTCAGAGCTCCCTGCTGTACCTCACAGCTGGAGACAAAACGTACGGCAGTGTCTGTCACACACTCATGGTTGGTCTGGCTCACACTTGCTGACGTTGTCTTGCACATCAAAAAGTACTAATATTATGTTCATGTGAATGCGTGTACATAGGCCTGGTTACTGCAGTGTATCCCCACCAAGATCCTGTACTCAGAATCAATGTTACAAGGCCTACAGGACTATGTCCAGAAGCTGCCCAAGGAACCAAACTCTGGTGCAACTTGATGGTAATGTAGCAACATTAGAAAACCTATTTATATCTTATATTATTGTTATTTTTACACTGACAGATGCTATAGGGCACTCTCGGCTTGTGTACCAATATCTTCTACTCCTGTACCACTGAAAATGTACATGTTCGTTATTTTCACACTGTGAGCCATTAGAACGATAGTATAATAATGAAGATGATCTTGTCTTGTACTGTTTGTCTTTTTTGTGTCCAGTGGTCTGCAGCTTTCAAAACCAACAGAGACCTCTTTATTGAATTAAATTCACAGAGAGACATAAAACACATTTCAACCATTTAAATGATGGCAAAAGTGCAGTGTATGGAGTTTTAATTAATGTAGTAATACTACAAATAGAATAGTAATAGTACAAAAAAAGGTGCATACAATTCAAACACAATATAAGTCAATATTTAGTATGACAGTAACTGCACACATGATCTTGAGTCAAGAGTACAGTGCATTAATATGCACATGATCTTGAGTCAAGAGTACAGTGTATATAGTTTTAACCTTGACTTGTGTATAAATTGACAGAATTTTCTTATCTACTTTTAAAACTGCTCTGATTGATCAGTGATAGTTTAAAGCACAGCCGGGCTATATCACAGTGAGCCATGGCAAAGATGTGGCTCAGGAGCCACAGGTTGAAGAAGTCTTACCTCTCATGTCTTCCCCAGGTTCATCACTTCCTCTACACCATCTATACACACCTGTGTTTTACCTCTACTGCCCTCCTGTGGTTCCTATTTCTCTGATGACATCATCCTTCCCACTGGTGTCTTGTAACCAGTCCTTTCCCATATGTTTATATATGGCAGATACACTTGTCCCTGCTGATCCTGGTGCCTAATTTAGGTATAAACACAAGAGAGCCAGTGATTCTTGTGACTCAAAGACTGTTACTGTAACTGTTTTGAATCAGTGCTTTCAGTGTGCTATTGTGATGTTGACCTACAAAATGCACCAATAAAAGGACAGCCAGGCTGTTCAGACAGTAGAGAGGATGATCCTCCCCTTGCCATATAGTGGAGATTGAAGGAAACACAGCTTAAGGAGGACATAGAAAGACACAGGTCAGACTGACGCTGAGCTCATATGATTTAAGTCTGGACTCAAGCTAAGACAACATCACATATAAGCGGATGTCTTTCACTGTTACTCACATATAAGCGGATGTCTTTCACTGTATTTCTTCATCAGACATTTGCTGAGACACTTGTTAAACCTCACAAGTCTGTAGATCAGGGGTCCCCAACCTTTTTATGGCCAAACTGCACCAAGGGCAATATTTTGTTGTACCTTGTACCTTTGTACCTTTGTTTACTGTTTTTGGTATTCAGCTAATAGCCAAACTAATAATAACAATGATGAATCAGTGCATAAGTAATTTAGAAATATAATATTTTTTCGAGTTTCCATTAGGTTAATGACATGCTTCTACATGCTTTTTAGTCTGTTTTTAACGTTTTCTTATTTTTCTTAATTTCGTAAGTATTGTCTTATCTATGGGAATCACCAGGAAGCAAAATTATTTTAACGTTATTTGTTTTTGCTGACAAGATATAATAAAATAAAGTTTTCCGTTTTATTAACCGCTTAAAACTGTTTGGATACAGTAATACCCACGTTGGCCACGAGAGGGAACAATAGTATAGTTTAGAAGTTTTCCGGGGATTGAACCTTTGGATGTGCAGAAAACAGAGACTTTCTTTAGTTTTAATATGTCTCTGTCAAAGTAAACAATAGATCGCTGTGTGTAATTTAATGTAATTCCACCATTTTTCATTGCTTTTAATCAGCGGGGGTTTCCACAAGGTGTGGCGTCTGTGGCTTTCTTTACCTGTAGCTGAAATGAAAAGTTGTTTACCTTGATTGCTCTAGAGCTGGGGCTTTCCTTTGAAATTGAGCACCGGTGCAAACACCTTTTAATTTGCCCCTCTCAACCCTTGTGCGGTCCTTCACATTTTTGTACACACCGCTTGTCGTTGCAATGATTTTCATCTTGTCCCAGAATATGAGTATTAATGAATATGAGGAAAGGGTGGCACAAGTCGTGCAGTACAGGAACATACACACGCACACATACTCACGCAAGCACACACAGACACACACAGACACTAAGACATATTAGGTCTTGGTGACCTGGGGGTCACCTAGACCCGAAGGACCTTACAAGGGTTAATGCCCCCCATCACCCAACACACAGAGAAACACAATCACAATCTAAGCTTCACCTAACAAATTTTCAGTGTGCGGAAGAATTTCCTCTTCATTTGCCCAGTGATGACTTTAGCATCAGTGGGATCATGTTACAAAAATGTTAGGCGAAAATTGCGGTAACACCTCCGGCAGATAAGGGGCTGGTGTTTGGACGAGGTCACGGAAAGTCTTTGTTCATTTCAGTGGCTGTCTGTCTGCGTCTGACAGACAGGCAGTGGGTGGCCAGGCCCATCTATTTGTGCAGCGTCTGTGCCCGTGAGCCCAAGGGGAAGTGCAGAGGGTCTCTCAGAGGGTGTCTTTGAAGATGCTCCCTGTCTGAGTCCTCTCTCTCCTGTTGTGTCAGTAAACAGCAGAGTCCTAAACAAGCACACAGCCACTGCAGCCCACCCAGGAGCAAAGGTCAGGCCTTCTAACCCGCCAACGCAAAATCCACTCAATAAATACACACTGAACTCACCTCACCAATCGGTTTCCAGGTGTTTAGATTACTACTGACGCTCCAATGAATGTATTGAAACCCTAAAATCCATTTCTATATACCATGCATTTCTGATGCCAACGTTATATTTGGCAGCTTCTTCTCTCCATGTTTTCCATCTCCTGAAATGCCGTGCCTGCCCATGTGACATCCTAGCATAAATATTTGAATATGTATACTAAATGATGATTATACTGGTTGAAATATTTCTGTGTTTGTTTATGCTGCTGAACACAGATATTATCTCTAAGCAAGGAGACGTGTGGGAAGTTATTTATCGCAACAGGAGTAAAACTTACCATTTTTATCGTGTACAGGACGGAGGTCTTTGAAACTCAAGACGTTAATTTCAGCCCCTCATCTTCCACAAAAAAAAGTGCTGTCAGAAAACAGGCTCAGAAGACAGAAGATAAGAGAGAATAGATGGGAGAGGGAATGGCTGGAAAAGAGAAAGACATAATTGGAGAGGAGGGAAAAGAAAAGGCCAGTGACTTCTCTGACAGCCCTGTGCACACATGTGGCTAGGCTTTGCTTGCATAGCCTCACTTCTAGGCGACGGGCCTTGCAAACATAAACAGTGCAGAGACTGCAGCTGGAGGAGAGAGAGTCAGCTGCCTGCTTACTGAGACTTCTCTACACTAAACAATGGATCAAGTGATGCACAGGACTTTAGCAATGCAAAGTTATGTTTATATCTGCGCTCTCTCAATATTTACACCGTAGAAAATCACAAAACGTTCCATTCCTTTTGTTCTGGACCTGGCCAAAGAGTCTTTGTCCACTGTCTTTGTCTCTCTCTCTCTCTATGTGTCTCTCACCCCCTCTATCGCTGCACAGGACACGACAAGGTCATAGAGGACAAATGTCTTTTTGTGCATATTTTTTGGGAAGTCGACTGTGTTTAGGGTTGAGTACTCTTAGTCACAGCTGGAGCTCAGTACAGGTGTTGGGTATGAATACATTGGAGTTCAGTTTTGGACAGGCCTCTCCTTCAGAAACATTCATTCATATTCACATGCACGACCAGAGTGTCGCCTTGCTGAGAAGCATAGAAATCGAAGATTATTTTGTTATTATTATTATTATTATTGTATTATTGTTATTATTTGAAGCATAGAAATCGAAGATTATTTTGTAACTGTGTAAGTGTGTGTGTATATTTCGCTTTATTATAGAGCACAACTGGGAACGGAAGAGAGCAGGAACACGTAAATTAACCCAAAGTATAGCTAACAGTTGCTTGGGTAACTGGGAAGGAATGGGGTGTAATTTCCTAATGAAGTGGGGGAATGCTTTTTTCCTCAGACTGTTACCGTAACACAAGAGCCATAGGTCCTGTAGTAGCTGACCGGCTGAGCCACCTAAGAATTCTATTTTGAACTTTTATATTTAAATAAGCCTTTTTATAGTCATGTTCTAATTAGACTGGAGCTGACAATATTCATATATTTTACTATGGACAAAACTGTCCATCTACAGTTGGACACCTATAATCCAAACAGAATGAATCCTTTATGTCAGTGATCATTAACTGGTGGCCCAAGAGCCAAATCTGACGATTGATTCCAATCTTGCTACAGGAATCCAAATTAAACATCAAATAATCCTGCTCCATAAATGTATCGCAGGATCCTGCAATTAGCATAAAAGCTTAGAGCGCATTGTTGATCACTGAGCCATGTTACCCATCCTCCATTTGCCACGTCAGACTCTACTTGTTGTGGAGTCTTTTTTCCTGTCAGTATAAAACTAATCACAGGCCGCTATTTCACCTGAATCAGACTGTGTCAAGAAGGACATGGATAGGAATCTATAAATGTCAGGCTGTGCTGAAACAGACAAAGACGAGCGTAGAATGAAGAGTTTGGGTTTGGGACAAGAGAAAGGGCTTTTTATTCTCTGTCTGATTTGAACAGGTGTGAATGATGTGTGGTCTCTGAGAGTGCAAGAGTGTGTGTATGAGTCTGTGCTCTGCCTGGGTGGCAAGGTTGACAGATGCACACCCTCTTACACATACAATATTTTACCATGTTCTGTTGAGGCACGCAGCTCATTCTCTTGTTTATTGATAGCTATCAGCACCTTATTATTTCAGTAAAGAAAAACACTGCAGTAACACAAAGCAGTTCTCTGTGGCTCAACACTGTTGGTGTTAACAAGAGATCTGTGAAAGCAACACATGCAGTCACACACATCACAATGTAGTTACTTAGTAAATCCAAATGTATGTTAAAAGTCTAAAAATATATATATGATATTATTATTATTATTATTATTATGAAAATCTTAACATGATAAAATAAATAATTTATATCCAGGATCTAATAACTGACACTGAAAACCCAACATGAAATAAACCTTACAGGATAAAATATATAAAAAGAAATACTATCCTATACAAAAATAATAATAAGAAAAATAAATAAAATACAAAAATACATTTTCTTAACTGAAAACTAATTTAAAATACAATAGCATATTTTAAGCTTCAGTACCATTATTTAATGACCAATAAGAATTACCATAGGAATGCTGCTCTAATATTGCTCTATTATAGAAGTGTCAGATTCAATCACTCAAGGGACAGTAATATAAAACACAGTCTCAGTTGAAGACCAGACAGAATTACTGTTATTTCCGGAATATACTACTTTTTCACATACTTTGAACCCTGAGGTTTAAACAATGATGTGGCTGATTTATGAAGTTCATACCGCTAGCGATAAGTGACTTTTCTGGTAGGCCACTGTGTGTTATACTTGTAGCATATGTCTGTCTGTGTGCATATATGTGAGTGGGGAGTGGGCGAGAGAGAGAATGGTAGCAAAAGTTGAGAGCAGTTTGAGCCCTGTCATGTTGAAGCGTGAGTTGGTTATACAGGAGCTGTTAAAACGCTGTTTATGTACTGTTGTGCTCAGTGTGGCTGATAATAAAGACCCCAACTTCACTGTTTCTGTTTACCTATGCTGCGGACACGCACCAAGTGAAGGGAGTTAGCCCCAGAGCTAATGTTAGCTTCGGCCATGGAGCAGAAGTCTCCCCTGTGCATTCCAACTATGGTTGGGGCACCGAAGAAGGAAAGAGCTAATGTGTAACCAGCTGTGTTACAGGCACTGAAAAAAACATCAAGTAATAACGTTTGACACAATGTGATTTTTATATAATGTCTGAACCCCAAATTGCAGCAGAAATGAGCAGATCAGAGGGACAGTTAATTAAGAGCAGTTTATAGATAAAGTGAGAGAGGTGAGGTGGAGGTGGATGAATCCACCAGACAGGAAGAAAAATGGAAGAACCAGCAATTCACAGATGTAGGGAAGGAGGGCAATGGCTGAGATGATCCACTATGTCGACCACCGGCCGCAAGGTAGCAGATGTGAGAACAAAGACATATCGATATGAGAAGACAACATATCCACAGACAGAAAGCCTTTTTGCTCCAC